CGAAGAATGTTTGCGTCTATTTGAGGTCCAATGGGCAGCTTGTACACTGATCCGCCTATTGAATTCAAATGTGGCCGAGGAGACAAGCAATTCCAAATCAGTTGGTCATTTGGTTCTAGCAGAGGAAAAAGCAACAATCCTCCTGGACGAACAAGTGCATGCCGCCGATCAGTCGCCTGTTTCACGACATTATGGTGCTCGTGATGTTAGTCTCATCAATTCTTTGATCGGTTCGGAGTTTGTCGTACGGCTTCCCGGTGCAGACGGCACCCAACTGAAACGGCTAGCTTCTGGTGACGTTACCAGAAGAGTGGCGGATAATCCTTGGTACCGCACAGCCACTTTGCGATACACGCATTCACTGGACTCGGAATCCAGTCATGCCAACATTCAGAACGCTGTGATTCCTTTGTCCTCGGACAGACATGAAATGCATCCGGAAAGCGCAAACCAACAACTCGTATCGGAAAAGAACTCTTTCAATACGGAATGTAAACCTGATCGGGTTGAGAATGCACGCCCAGTTTGTAAACAAGAACCGCTTACTCGTCCGACCAGCGCAGCCACAACACCCTGTCAGATGATGGACACGCACCTGCCAGAACCGAAGGAACTCGGTCACGGTAATCCTTTTTTACTATTTTTGTGTTTTTCCTTGTTACAGGAATATCGAGAGGAAATTTTTACCAAGGTGACAGATGTCAGTGATATGGTGTTCTTCTTTCAACAAAAATCTAAAAAACATGATCTGACGCGCATCCTCCACCGCGCGCGTACTCAATTCATCAATTATCTTCAAGACTATGGTTTCTTTTTGCCCTGATTTTCTGTCTTCATCACTCACATGTACATACATGCTATGGACAATTGTATCATTCCAGATTTAATGGTTATCCTACTTATTCACTTATCTTCCCCTGTAATTTCTTATTTTTGGGTCTGTGCATAGCAGAAATTTGTTTGCTGTGAATGAATTTAGCTTGGACAGTTAACTCGTAAACATGATTTATCCGTTCCTCTTATTTTTCATTGAACTTTCCCAATCCACCACAATGGTGGTACGTTAGGGCATACTTTCATCATATCCATCTACATGCAGCGTACAAGTATTCTCAATGAATCCTGCTCTTTGTGGCATTGTCGTTTAAGTTGGTAGTAAATAGAGCTAGAGACAGAAATGCTGACCTACCCATTTAGCTAGCAAGTTGCCGGTTTGAGTGAGAAGTATATAAGCTTGCACCAAGTATACCAATGCAAAAGATGCGGGAAACATTTATAGCTAGGTCATCCACACCCGGGAATCGTTCAACAATGAAGTACAAATTGAAACATGATTCTTGAACCGACCGGAAAAACAACTTTTGTTAGTCTGCAAGCTGAATGTTTGAGAGTACTAATTAATGCATGTTATGCATTATTCACTTTGAAAAAAGATTTGCCCAATTACCCCATTCAGAAACTCGACAAAAATATGCACATAATTGTGATAAAATATATACTAGGTGTATGTATTCACATCGCTTCATTCACGGGCTAATAGCTTAGCCTGTCATTACCGCTTATGAACCATATAACGCATTTAGAGTCAGGTCAAGCACATTTACCAATCTCTGCGGTCATTGCAGTGAACTAATGAACACGACTGTCGACGGTTAAGGCGCTTGGTGAATTATTAGACCGTCAAATCCACACATCAAACAATATAGTTTTCTATAGCGCGTTGCACAAGTCTGGTGGAGAAACTGGACAGGCAATCCTGACGTTAGGAGCAGAGTTTTAGGTATTCGCGGTCACTCACCGGCGCATGTAGTCTACCTTCACAAAATGCGCTGGTTGGGGCATGTCATCAAACAGAATGCCACGGCGCGTGCTGTTTGCCGTGGTAAATGATGGGTGAAAAACGTTAAAGAGTGGTCGAACTGAGTCCTGCCATGACAGGATGAAATACTTGACTAGGTGACTTGCTCCGATATACCGCGTTATGCTTCTTGCACGGGAACCCCGGGATCATCATAACCGATGTTTATAGACACTCAGTTTCATAAACAGTGGCGCTTGTGCATCTTCTCAATCTCTCTGTAACCTTGTTCTCTATGAATTCTCCATTTTCACGTTGACTGATTTGAATATTCCGACCTTCTCTTCACCCCTGCATCAACATGGGCAGTCCTGGGACAATAACTAAAACCGGCGTACGGCAGTGCATGGTTAACGGGTGTGAAAACTGAAACTGTAGTTCCGATTTCGAAGTTCAACATTCAATCTCGGTGAAATTATTGTCATAAATCCTAAATATTCGAATTCACTGTATGTAAAACACCCTCCTTCAACAAAAATAGGTCAGGAAAACAGTGCCATTGGTAGATAATTCCATTAGGCGCCAGTTATATTGCACTAGTGCAAAACTGCCTGAATGCAGTGCTCAGCTTGTTTTTTTAAGTAGAAAGCCCCGTACCTCGGAAATAATGAAAGCCAATTTAATCACTCCCCTGGCAGATACAGCGAACATTGTGGCAAGAGCTTTTGAGAATAACAAACGGGATGCAACCTGCTTGTTCAGCTTCTTTTCGAAAGCGATGTATTGTCATCTGTCTTTCGCAAATATTTTGCCACAAATTCGGGCGTTTGTTTCCATAGAGAGGATTCATCAAAACTCCCGCTCCGCCCAGTCACGCTACCCATGTGTGGCTGTGAGGAAACTAGGTACCCGATTGGTCGAAAACTAACTACTACTGGGATTGAGATCTACACAAACAATTTGTTCTTAAAGTCAATAACTAGTCATCTGATGCAAACTGGCCCACCGGGGACATCATTTCAGGTTCTTCACACAACCCCGAATGGACGAATGTTTAGATCCTCGGATTTCAAGTGCTAATGTGTCAGTATCACCCTGACGGTCATATAAGTGNCCTGACGGTCATATAAGTGGGCGAACGAGTTTGTCATTGTCTGGTTATCCTCGTTTGTAATATCTGCAGTAAGCAAGAGGTGAGATGCAGCGAAACTATTCCGCAATTCGGTCGTGCTCAATCACCTATCCGTGTTTCTTAAACAGGACTTTGTTTTGTTCAAAATATATCAAATTTAAAAATGTCTCTTCTTTAAGCTCATTGATACTGACGAAGTCATATAAGGAGATTACACCATGAAATCAGGGTTGACGAGGTAGGGTAATTTTATTTCAACGAAAGTCACGTAAGCTCAATCTGGGGTAGGTGTTTCACTAAAGAACGCGTCAAACGTGCCACCGATTGATACAAGGCTAAATCAACACCATCCATGAAGACCGAGGAGAATACAATGATTGAAAACCGGTCTGTAGACAATGTCAGCTCGCCAATGAGTTGCACTAGCCGTTCTCGGTTGGATTCATTCGCCAAGTTGCTCTTCTGTGTGTCGGAAAGAAATTTTGTGTTTGCCATAATGGAAGGGAGCGCGTCACCCTTAGTCGGCGAAACAATCTCGGCAATATTGCAATCGGCCTGGTACGTTGAAAGTCTGCAGGATGAAACACAAGTATAGCATTAACGGAGACATGGTGGGCACCTTAATGTTAATCTCTAAACACACTTTGTAACTTGAGAAAAAGTTTCAAAAGGGAAATCTCCGGGTTAGTTTTAAAGCCCTATCTACATTTTCATACCAAACGTATATCAAATGCTTAAGTAAGGGGAGTAAAAATTTACATACAGAAAAGTTAGTCAACAGATACACACCATGCATATGCACATCTATACATATATTGAGATGTATATGACCGCGACCATACCACGTTGGAAATACCGGTTTGCGGCTGATCACCGAAGTTAAGCTATTTCGGACCCGGTTAGTATTTGTGTGGCTGACTGACTGGGAATACCGGATGTTGCAGCCATTTCCTTTTAGGTGGTAGGCAGCTTTGCTGTCGTCCGGTTCAATACCACGCCTAATCTAGTGGGGCCTCATGTGGTTCTCCACTCCAAGTCCTAGGTCACCGGTTTCCATGATGGAGCGACACTTCTTCGTAACTATGGGGTTCGCCCAGTCTGCTGTTCACCACTCAAATGTGTGTAGTAAAAAGGTGCTGAACTAACCTCCCGAGAATCCGTACGGGAAGCGCGGTTCTTTCGGAAAACAGTGCATGAGTACGTTCCGTGATAGGATAAAGTTCATCGTAGAGGACATAAACGGCTGGATCCAGAACTGAAGTCATCCTGTAATAAAAAAGAAATTCTCTGTATCGTTTACAGTACAGTTGCAGGTAGAATGGAATAACGAAATAACGTGAAGATTAGGACTGGATTCTCCGAAAGCTAATCATAAATAGTTTTCGCCAACAGTGGCGCTCGTGCATCCAATCCTTATTTGCCCAACACCATCCTATATGAATTCTGCATGTTCCGCTTGAATTTTCTTTCAACATTCCAATCTTCATCCTGCTGTTTTATCCAAATGAGGCAACTAAAACCGGCGCACGAAAGTGCATGGTTAATGGTTGTAAAAACTGACACCAAAACTTTCTCACTAAACCGATTAGGTATTGCGTGCTCGACTGCTCTGAGAGATATTCACAGAACTTCTCTGAGGTATCGGCTTGGTATTGTGCTCTACTCCTTCCTGTTTTACTCCTTAGTCATCTCGGCAGAGCGATATTTTTGGCTATGTGTAGAGCTCGTGAACTGTTCTCGCGAAAAAGACTGATTCAGATACGGGTTAGAGTATTGATCGATTAGTAGGCACAGTACTGATGCATCCCACGAAGGATCATAGCTAGATCAAATCCTTTTTATCACTGTCAAAAACTAAGCAAATATCGGCTTTGTGGAATGTACATTATTCGGAATAGTTCATTGTAATCCAAAGAAGCTGCTCATTGAATGTTTCAATTTCAATATCAACCTGGGTGTTATGTTTGAACATACAAGAAATCATTTAATGTCGATCCGCTTTAACAGGAAAGACCACATTGCAATACTGCACGATTTATGACCAGAACGATTTCGCTGCATCTCCTTATGGTGCTTACTGTAGGAAATACAATGTTTACTTACGGCTTTAGCATGGCGACAAAGTAAAGCAAAATACAATAGAACAGACAAAACAAAAAGAGGAGGGACCATGTTGTGAAGATAAGGACAGACTAGCAATGTTCTTTTTGTTGACACAGGGGGCCTATATTGATTAATAGCAATAGCTTCAGCAAACCTTAGCAATCTTGCGACTCATGACTTGTAATCAATGCGAAACGCTGTGCTTCGGTCCATCTGGTGTTGCGTCATCAGCAGATGTCGAGCAAGGGTTGACGATACAGTTGTCGTTTCTATGCTGCGGACTTGGCCTCGATTGCGTCACCTGATTTTGGACCCAATCTGGGATATGTTGCACCACCCGATTGCCTAATTGTCTCTCTGTTCTGCCCACGTAGGTCACTCCGCACCCACATTGGAATTGGCAGATCAGATTAGAGTTGACGTACAGGAGGAGAAGTTCTTTTGTCGGGAGTGGGTGAGTATCCTGGTTGTCCGGTAGACGATTTGGGGGTCGGCTGCAAAAAAGGTTCTAGTGATTGCTGATCTCAGTCGTTTGTTGAGCAGACGGCTTACATCATCACCTTTGAACTGAAGGCAGAATGTGACCCGCAATTTTGGGACTGACGCAACCAATTAATTCGTAATTCTTGGTTTGTTATGCTTATTAACGAACGATTCGGGGTAAGCGCTTTTTGCTAACCTCCCGGAGGTTTTGCCGCTCTTGATCACTTCGATCTGTTGTACAGATTCACCTCGTTCGGTCAAATAATGTTCCAACAAGACCATGTTTATACCCCGGGGGAATAAAGCA